CAGAATATATTGTATGAAAATTTTATTTTCAGCCGGGTGTTGGTGGCACACACCTTTAATCCCAGTACTAGGGAGGTAGAGGCAGGTGTATCTCTGTGAGTTTGAGGCCAGCCTGGTCTACAGAGTGAGTTGCAGGACAGGCTCCAAAGCAATACAGAGAAACCCTGTCTCAAAAAACAAAAACAAAAATTTGATTTTTTAAAGGCAAAGGGGGGATAAGAGGAAAATGAAAATACTTAACTCTCCCCCCAGGCTCAAATGACAGTCACTTTTAATATTTTGCTATAGTTTCTTCAGGACTACTTATTTTTGTCTTTCTTTTTCGATCTTTGTTATCTATAGTGTTTTTGAGACTGGATCTCATGTAGCCCAGGTTGGTCTCAAACTCACTATGTAGCCAAGGCTGACTCTAAACTCCCAACCATCCCACTTTTACACCTTAAGTACCACAATTACAAATGTGAGCCACCATCCCCAACTAATTGTGACTGCCTTAACTACACTTATTTTGTATCAAGCTTTTTTCACTTTACACGGCAATATTATTTTTCTCAAGACTATAAAACTTTTGTGATATTACTCTGAGTAATCACAACCTTCAGTTTATTTAATTAGTTATTTAGGGCATTTTGCTTCCATTTCTTAGAAAATGAAACAAACTGAAATAAAGACTTTTTGGTATGGTGCTAGAGAAAATAAAATATTTTATTCATTTGCTTTGTGTTTATGTGCTGGTTGTCAAACACTGGGCCTTGAGCACTCTTGGGGAATAGTCTAACCCTGAGCACTTAAAATGAATGTTGATGGGCAATCATAGCTGCTGTATCTTAGTCATCTGTTCCATTACTCACATTAATTAAATAAAAAGCAAGAAACCTTTGCATCTGAGAGGAATGTATATTAAGCTGAATCAATCAGTCAACGCGATGGGAACTAGAGCTGGCAAATAGTTTCCCCTTGAAAGTAGCCTCCAAGCTTTAATTCCCAGCCATTTGGCTTGGAGTGTATTAAGTTCCTGTGTCTTCCTCTGATACACTGTGATTTTTTTCTTGCTTTAGAAGACTTTAGATCTTCTTATTCAGTGTTTAGAATCTGTGAATGGCACCCTAGTCAATGCAGAGCAGCCTGTCCATTTGGTATTTAGGCTTTTATGAATTACCCTTCAGTACAGATGGAGTGTAGTGTCTGCTATGGAAAGTGGAAGGTGTGTCGTCCCAGAGCTTCTGTACCCTCCCCACAAATGCCAGGAAACACACTCTAGGTTGCCTAGAGGAGGCAGTGGTGACTTGGGACTCTGAAAACCATCATCTTGGATTAATTTCCCACTCTCCCAATTTCTGTTGGCTGGATTTTGGCTTTCAACTTGGAAAATAGGAATAATAATCATACATACATGTGTATGTAGAGGTGTGTTACATAAGTAAAAATCTAGTAGGGACTTAAAAGTGTTAATTATTATTTCTGCTGTGCTTCTAAAATTTTGAATTTCAAGTGCCTTAAATCTCCAGTAATATTGATAATGATCCTTACTATCCCTCAGTAAGCGGCCTTTAAAGTTTTTTCTTTACATTAAAATATATTTACATTATTTTCCCATTTCTCCCTCCAACCCCTCCCATCTACCACTTCTGGCCACTTTTTAAAAAATAGTTGCTACATATACAGATACATACATACATACATATATGGGTACATGAGTGTGCGCGTGTTTTTGTGTGTGTGTGTGTGTGTGTGTGTGTGTGTGTGTATGTACTTTCCTAAATATATAAATATAATTTGCTCAGTCTATATACTGTTTCTAGAATGACTGCTTGGTATTGGATAACCAATAGGAAGGCTCTTCCCTGGGGAAGATTATTGTCTCCCACTCTGAGTATTTCTTAGTTGCCTGTAGTTCTTTATCTAGGGTTGGGGCTTTGTGAGATTTCCCTGTTCTGTGTTAGCATGTCTGTTGGTGTCATCTTGCTTAAGTGGTCATATTGTTGAAACTACTGGGTGTAGACTCCTTGACATATTCAGGAGACACAATCTCACGGAAGCCATCCCATTTCTCGGGCTCTTACAATCTTTCTGTCCCCTCTTCCTCATTGCTCCTGAGCCTGGGACACAGGAGTTGTGTTGTGGATGTATCGTTTGGCTTGGGCACTACACAGCCATTTGTTCTCTGCATTTTGATCAGTTGTGTCTTTCTATAGTGATCTCTATCTGTTGCAAAGAGAAGTTTCTTTGTTGAGGACTGAGAGTTACCTTTACCTGTGGGTAGAAAGGATAAATATTTAGAATGCAGTGAAGAGTATGCTGGTTTAGTAAAGTGGCCTTTGTTGGTTCTACTCCGAGATCTATGATTATACTAACCCTGAATAGTTGGCAAGGTGTCCAGGACTGAGCCTGGTTTCCCTCTCGTTGATTGGGTCTAATTAGAAAGCTATTGGTTACTGCCATGCTATGAACATCACTATTGTCCTCTTGAAGATACTGTGCCATTCTGGTCACTGTTGTGATACATGGGTGACAGGAGTATTTGTAGTTTCCCCCCACTGGAAGATTTCTGGTGATGAACATCACTATTGTCCTCTTGAAGATACTGTGCCATTCTGGTCACTGTTGTGATACATGAGTGACAGGAGTATTTGTAGTTTCCCCCCACTGGAAGATTTCTGGTGATGTCTCTAGCATCATAAAAGCTAGTTCTCAGGAAGAGGCTTTCAGGCCAGATCCAGCCCAAATCCTCTACATTCCATGTCTCAAGTGCATGGTGTCTTCAGCTATAGGGACTTACTTTCAACCCCTGAGGAGCAACCAAGGCCACCAGCAGTAGCCTGTCATGTTTTGGAAGTCTCTTGGACCTCCTTGACCATAAACTCATACAGGGACTTAACAATCCTGGTGTGGGGGTGGTTTGCTAGTCAGTGGGTCTTGGGGAAGCCATTGTCACTTAGACTGGAAAATTTCACTTAAACTATATATGTACATGAATATACAGAGTTATATGTATCATATGTAACTTTAGGTAAATAGATACCATGAATCCTTATGACATTTTCAGACATCCTTATTCTTCCTTTTCTCACCTTCTGTGTTGGCCTGCCTTTTCTATCTTAATTACCCCCGCCCCCAATTTTCTTCAATTTCCTTCTTAAAATTGTTTTTACCCTGTGATTTCCTTCTCTATTGTCCCCTTCACTCCATTGCTCCACTTTACTTTTCTTACTTTGGCAATTACTCCAAAATACTTATAACTGACAATATGGAATTAGGAGACAAAGAAAAGAGATGGCATATATTTGTGTTTCTGTGACCAGGTTTTACTATGAACCCTAGCTGGCCTGGAATTGTGTTGACCATGCTGGCCTTGAACTCATAGAGCTCCACCTGCTTCTGTCTTCTAAATGCTGAGATTAAATGCCTGTACTACAATAACTGGCTTATGAGTACTTTTTATGGGTAATTAATTCCTCCTTGGCTGGCTTACGCTGGTGATGAATGAGACAACACTTTTTGCAGGAGGTTCCAGGTACTCCATTACAAAACCTGGCTTCATATCTTTATGGCTCTGCGTTTTTGAATCGATCTGTTCATAATGAGGAAGTAGGAAGTTATAGAGGTTGGACTGATTTGCTAACGCCAGCTCCAGGCTGACGTTTTGGCCATCACTCTGATTTGGCAATCTCTTTAAGGAAATGGTTTATACATTTAGGTCCCTTAGAACTTTTAGCTTTTAGCTAATTTAGTATGCCTTCAATGAAGTGGATAATTTGTTGTTTTTGAATAAATAAACGAATGAATGAATGCTTCTGTGGATAATAGAACTTTTCTCTCATAAGACACCCCACAGTACTGCTTTTTAAGTGAACTTGAAGTTGTGGTCCTTGGACCACATTCTGCGTCTGTATTGCACATAGGAGAATGAGAAACTTGAAATCATTTGTGTGTGTGGAACTGGTTGAATGCCAAGTGACACCTGGCTCTAGGAAGTCTGGTTTAGTCTTAGACAGGTAATGGTGAAGCAGCTTTAGTTTAAACAAGAGCTCCAGCCAAGTCTATTTAGATGTGTTTCTAGTGTCTTGATTGTTAGCTATATATTTAGTGTATCCCTTGTGCTATCCATTCTTCTGGGCATAATGATGCTTCTTTAGAATGTCCTGGGCTTAGTGAAGGTCCAACAAACCTTAGATACCGGGACGACATTGGTATTATCCAATCTCATGGTTTCAAAACAATTCTAATGTTAATGACTCCTGTGACCGTATCTTTAATCCAGCCTTCTTATAGATTTCATCATCAAGTTTCATGCTTCATAGACTGCTGTTCTCCCAGCAGCCTCTGTTCTTCTACCTTGCATCATCGATTCCATCTCAGTGGTGCAACCCAAAACCCTGCTTCACTCAGACCAAAATCCTGGAAGTTCCCTTTGTTTTCTTCCTTCTTCTGCCTTTTACATTTTGCCGATCTCTAGGCTCCTAAGTATTGTCAAGAACGTGAAGAAACTGAATCTTTTTATTCACACCAAACTAGTTGATCTCATGTGACTGGACGCTGGCAGTCACAACAGGCAGAGAAATGCCAACTGCTTGCTTCTCCGAGACTCAGTTCCCAGAGAGTTATGGGTAGAGCGGGTGCCTGCCACTTCCACATGCCTAAGAAATGGAATACTGCATCCTGGGAAACACAAGGGCGTTGCCTTCTCTCAGAAGGAAAAGCATTCTCCCAAAGCGATTCTCCACAAAAATATCTTTGAAAAGACAGTTCGAGCCCAAGGCAGCCAGCGCAATGCTCATGTGCTGTGCAGACTCAAAGCACCATGGATGTCTTGGATCTCCTCCCTCTGCTCTTTCTCAGCCTGCTGGACCAGGATGCTCTACTTCTCACAGGACTGCTTTGGCAACTTCTAACTGCTCCCCTGATTGGATTTCCCTTCATTTCTAGCCCGTATCTTGTGGTAGTGGGCTCTGGGGACACAAACTTGAGCTGTTTTCCCCCTATTTGAAGTCATTTCTTATACCCTCTTCAGCAGCACATGTAATAAAGTTGGAACGATACAGAAATGATTAGTGTGGCTCTTGCATGAAGATACATGCACATTTGTGAAACATCCTGCATTTTAAAAAAGTATCATACTACAGAGATACCTACAAATCATGCTTATTAAGGCACTTTCACAACAACCAAAATATAGAACCAGCCCAGATGCTTGGATGAAGAAAATGTGATGCGGTGGTGGTGCCTGTGTGCAAGTAAAATAGAGTTGTGTTCAGCCATATGTTAGAATGAAATTGTGGCATCTGTAAGGAAATGGGTGGAACTAGAAAATTTTCTGTTAAACAAAATAATCCAGATTCACAAATATTCTCTTTTCTTTCCGGTATTAAAGTGTGTATTTGTATGTGTGTGTGTGTGTGTGCATGTGTGTGATGAAAAGTGGAAGGAAACTATTTCAAGTGAATATAAGTGCACTAATAGGAGGGGGAGGAAGGCAATGACAAGAGAAAAAAGGCAAATGTTGGTTGTGCTCTCCTGTAGAATCTAAATTTAGATACGTATGTGGCATGGAAGCAAAGCAAGAACTATTTGGGTGAGGAGAAGGACAAGAAAGTTAATTGGGTGGAGAGTATGAGCTAAGTATGATGATACACATATAAGAAATTATATGAAACCCATTGTTTTATGTGCTCACTAGAAACAATGATGAAAATGCATCTGGGGTATGGTGGCATACATATTTAATCTTAGCACTCAGGAGGCAGGGGCAGGACAATCTGTGTTGGTTCAAGCCCTATCTGGTCTATGTAGCAAGAGTTACATAGCAAAATCAGGCCAGCCCAGGCCAAGCAGCTCTACAAAGCAAAATCCCATTTAAAAACAAACAAACAAATGAACTGTCTTCTCATTGTTATTGGGAAGATTCCAAGCCCCTTGGAATAACTGCAAAGGAGATTTTAGACCAGTTCCCTGATCTTTGTAGCCTTTGGAGGCAGCTTAGGGTGTAGTTTTGCCACTGCCCACGTCTTAAGCTGTTGGCTTTAGTCTGTCAAGTTGAGGTAATAGACCCTACATCATGGAGTGTTTTTGAGGATTCATTCTGCTCCCACATAGTTGGCCTTCAGTGAATGCTGGCTGCTCTGGGCCTGCCCAGTTTTGGACTCACACTATAACATCTGGCTATGTGGGTTTCCGGTCCCATTTCACTGTACACACTGATGCCTTTGTCCCTGCCACTCACTGTTTCTGAATTGTTCCCCGTTGCCAGGTTAGGCTGTTTATCTGAGTCCTCTCTTCCTTCACTTGGTTGTGTTAGGTGTACTGGACTGGAGACTGGACAGCATGGGGCTGTTGGCATCTATTCATGAGTCAGTTTCTGTTGTTGGATTGTCAACTTCCTGAGGATGGTGGCTGCTTTGCTTGGTCTCACTAGGATGTAACATGTTTTGCAAAAGATGATAAATGAATGCAAAAATAAGGGGAGTTCCTAGTCTGCTGGGGTGTTTGGCTTGTAGAGGCAATCTGCATAGGTTGGTGACAGGTAAGAGAATCTGGGTTCATGTTAGGGGCAGGGACATGAATTAAGCACTGTAGAAGTCCAGTGAAGTGATCTTGTAGAGTGTGGCTTAGGGGGTCTGTTCAAAGTCACCTTTTCAGTGAGAGACAGCTGCTCGTTCTGTGTGACTGTAATCACTCCCTCCCCTGAACGAAGCCATTGCCATCTGCCTCCTTCTAAGAATTTCGAATACAATGAAGCTCTTGTTACCTGGTGGGGAGGGGCAGTGGGGCTTCTTTTTAATTAACTTGTCTCTATAGCAAAAAGCGACTTTATCCTTCTTCTTCAGTCCCCTGATTCTCCAAGGCCTAGCTCAAATCACTGCCTCGACTTTCTCCCTTCTCCTCATTGGGGCATTCCACATTGAAAATCATAGTTTTATCTGAGTGTGTCTAATTCCTTATGAGACGGAAGCCCTTTAGGGATTTGTATTTTCTTCTTCATTGTTGATTGTTGTGCTTTTGGATTGAGAAGGCTGACCACATACTGGAAGTAAGAACGGACTGGCTGGAAGTCTCCATATTAACACCTACACCTGGATGGCAGGGGACTCATGCCAACCAGGGGCTCTTGCCTCCCCTTGCAACTGCTCCTTGCATTTTATGAAGCACTGCATACATTGAGAATAAGAAAGCTTGAAGTCTGAGCCATGACCTAATGCTAGCGACTGTTGTATCGGGGATGGGTTTCTGAAGTCTGCCTTCCTTTGCTTTGTAGTTTTGCTCTTTTTAAAACTTTTTTGTCATATCCCTGGCAGTTTGCTGCTTTCCTCTGAATGCTAATGCTTATTAGAAATGATGCTGGAGAATTTGGTGGTATGTTACGTGCCTCTTTCCCCTTCAGCCCACAGTTTTTTCTTGTCACTCTTTGCATCTTTTTTCTTTTTCTTTTTTTGTATTTCTGTATGTATTATTCACACTGGGATTGAAGCCAGGGCCTTCCTCCTCGTGCCAGGCAAGTGCTGAGCCCTCCCAGCCCCTTTCTGCTCTTTCCTGATTTGATCATCTTTGTAGATTGACACCTGTGTTCTGATCTTGGACACCTAGGATGGTCTTGATACTGAGTTCTAAGGTTGTGTCATGCCTCTGCTGTACCCAATATGTGTGCTTCTTTTATTCACCTGAAAAATCAGATGATGGGATGTTTATCAGCATTCTACAGAGGAGGGATTTAGTCTAGACATGTGATTTATACAAGATCACAAAGCCCTGAAGCTTAAACTTAGTCATTATGTCCAACCCCCTGTGGAGCATGTAAAGTCCCACCCCACACTGCTTCCCAGGTCCATCTGGAACACTGGTTTTCAAGGGGTTGTGTTGCCTTAGCTTTTAGTCCTATGTTATTCTTCTGAGGGCCCAAAAGCCCACTTTCTTGTACCAATAAGTGCTTTTGTGGGCAGGGGGTGGAGAGAGGGAGGGAGGGTGAGCACAAAAGACTGAAGGAACACACAAACTGGGAAGTTGTGGCTTTGCTCCCTTGTGGTGATGAGGTGACCGAGCCCTCACATCTGTTTTCAGACCCTGCTCCCCAATACCAGGCTTGTTTCTACTAAGCCAGTGCACCTTTTCCTGGTAATTCATGTCAGTTTCCCTCACAGCCACCTGCACAGTCTCTCTCTGGCTTGCTCTCAAGGCCATGAGTCTGTTCTTTGTGTGCTCGCTGTTCTCGATAACCCTTTCTAGGATTTAATGTCATTAAAGACGCTATTCATCAGCCTGCCTTTGTCTGAGATGTCTGTGTTGGCAAGCAGGCAGCTAGAAGTAGCTGCGTTCTCCCCAGCCAGATGTAGGGTCGCTGGGGCGGGGGGTGGGGGCGTTCAACTGAAGCACATTCCTACCACAACTTGGCAAAGAAAGAGCCACTGAGATTACTGGAATAATCCTGGCTTCTGACCCAGATTTATCAGCAGAATCTAAGGCCTCACTATTGGGAAGGACCTTAAGATCAGCTGTTCCACTTTGAAACTTGAGGGAAGTATGGGAATAGAGGAAAGCATTTAAGGTTTCGGGATGTTCAGACTTCCAGGGACTTGAGACATGACACATAGTCTTGCTTTCCCATTCCCTGGGCAAGGACTGATGTCTGCACACACATTCAAGCAGCACACTGTCTCATTGTGACTCTCCACTGATGTCCTGACGACAGCTTCAGGATGATGACCTGGCTATAGCCTCAGGATGGTGACCTGGCAGAGGAATTCCCACCCATCGGTTACTAGGATGCATCTGTCGATTCACCTGGCCACTATGGAAACTTCCTGTTGTCCTGTCCAAGCTCACTTCCCAGTGCCTCTGGTCAACCCCTCTGACTGGTAATCCATTGTCCTCACTGCACTGCATGTCTTCAGCTTGACCAGAGGTGGCCACCTCCTCCAGAGTGGCAGAAGCGAGGTGACTAGAGAGGGAAGAAAAAGCAAAGGAAAGGAGCGAGAGAGGCTGGGGTGGATGACCTGGATTTCTCCTCTGAGGTGATGCCTTTTGAGAGGGCTTTAACTTTGCAGTGGAGACAGGACTTGGGGCCTCTCCCCAGGTGGAAGAAGAGTCCTGCTTTCCTTTCTAGCTCTTACAACACATTCCACCCAGAAACTTTTACACATTCTTTGTACCATGATCCCGCTTAGTACCCCCCCCCCCCGTTTGCCCACATGCTAATCCGCAGGTGCAAGCCTGCATAGTAAGCTAGGAGTATCAGGCAGGCCAAGAGAGTCCTATGTGCTAAGTGTCCTCTGTCATGGACTAGAGGACACGGATGAAACTTCACGCACCTGACAATGCAACAAAAAACCACTGTCTTCCCTACAAAGCAGCATTTAGTTAATCTTAGCTCGGGTGAAAGGCACCATATTTTAACAACTTCATCATTAAAAATTTAATGTGTGAATTCCATCGGTCAAGGGACCACGGTAACTAAAATGTTAAAACAGCTGCAGTGACTATGACTGCGTCCCTTTGCAGACTGCCGCCTTCTTGCACACTCACTACTCACCGTAGGTCCAAAGTCTCGTGGCTAGACAGTGTGTGATGTGGAGGGACAAAAGACTGCGTCTTTGAGTTCTACCAGGGGGAAGTTATGGAAAGGGTAGCCTTTGAGTTCCCATTTTGTGTCCCTCATGACTGAAAACAGTAGTTGGAGGGATAGTTTGAAGGGCTATATACTGAAATAGGCATCCGCTTAAGCTTTGGTATTTATTTAAGTTGTGGAGCAGTCTGGGAAAGTGGCTGCTCATTGCCTTCTGTGATTAATAAAGAGGTCAATTTATCATGGGCCCTTTGAATCTGCATTTAATGGCTTCAGCAGTTGGTTTTGATTTCTGACTTGGTGTGGTCACTGTATTAAAAGAAAGAGACAGACCTGGTGGGCAGGAAAAGGCATCTTCAGAAGCACAGATATTTTCCAGCTAGCTCCTGTGAGAGGCAGACCAAGTGGCTGTAGTAAGAACCAGCTACACCTTTGAGATGCTTCTGTCTGCTGGATGGAGGCTGCTCCCTTTGAACTACTCCTTCTGTAGACTGTACAGGGACTCTAAGGACATGCACTTTTTAATGGAGAAGATATTTTGAAGGAAACTT